CACACTATCTTCAAAGGGAAATTGAACTATGCTTCTCTGCTTAAGTAGAAGCAGATACTAAGAAGTGGGAATAACTATATCAAAATCTTGAAACCGTTGTAGAACCACAACATGAGTTTCTTTTCTGAGCCCTTCTAAGACGAGATCAGAGAAATCAGTCTGTAAAGAAACTGGTTTTGAAATTTGTTGAAACATGCTTTATGGTTTAGAACCTGTTAATTTCCATAAATATTCCATTGAGCTAGAAAAAATGCATTTATAAATATTTATAAATATGTTGTTCTCTAATTTTGAGAAGCATATAATTGTAGCAATGAATGTCCCATATTTAAAAGAAAAAAAAAAAAAGACGCAGTGCTGAAGCAAGGAATAAAGTTAAGAAAAATCTGGTCCTTTTTTTTCAAGACTTCCACAAATGCTCTTGAATTTATGAGCAACAACACATCAGCTACTTGAGACCTCTCTGTCTTGAAATTGTCACAGATTCCTAACAGTCCTCACTACACCAGACTGATAATATCTTCTATGGGATTTGTCTGTCTTAACTAAATCACAAGTAAACCGGTGGTTGGAAAGAACACGTTTTAATCAAAGTTGAATGCTCACACTCTGAGACAATGGCAACTACAAGAAAAAGAAAAAATTAGTGTAAGTTTCTCCTTGACAGCTCATGAATTTATCTAACTGCTACTATCATTCTCATACATTTCCTTCCCAAAATGTCCTTAGCTAGTGTCCTCGGGCTGCTATGAATTCTGTGGGTGCCTTGGGAAAGGTAGCAAAGTCAGGTGGGGGCTTCGTCAGAGACAAAGGCAGCAGGAGCCTTCTGTTTACAATCTTTCCAAGTTTACCTGACCTGCCTCAACAACCCTTACAAAGATCAGTGTGAATCCAACCTCATGCATTTGGGAAGCTCTCCAACTTTGGAAATGAATTAAAATTCCCCAGCTGCTCTCGCTCAGCATCCTGGGAGGTACAACAACTCATGGAGATTTGCATTTATTCTTGTTAAACTTCTACTTCTTGCATACATCCCATCACTCCACCAGACATTTAAGAGTGAGAGCAGCTTGGATATTTGCAAATGCCTAGGCAGATTTGACAAAGCTGCCAAAAAGCATCTGATACTGTCCACACAGAGGACCCATGGGTCTTGTGCGGTGCACTCTGAGAAGCTGTAACAGGTCTCACTCAAGAAAAGATTCCATAAGATAACAGAGAAAATGGAGATTCTACAAAAAAAATTCACAACTTCATTAACGTTGATGGAGGGAAGAAGGAAGCACAGGACTGAAAGAATGGGGTGTGTATTCTGAAATTTTTTATAATCAACTTATTTTTAAAAATTACATGACTGCTTTCAGAACATTTTTTAAAAGGTGTAGGGGCACGAAGGCCACAGAGCAGGATATCTAAGATTTGAGCAGCCCAGGGTAAAGGAGAGTCATGGAGCCCTCATTGGGTTTCCCAGGCTTTTATTGAGCTTTACATGTAGTGTGGCAAACAGGTATACGGCAGGGGTGTGGGGGGCGGGGGACAGGAGGCCATCAGGCCTCCAAGCCCCTGGCAAGTCTTCACTCTGGGCTTCTCTGGCCTTCTTTCTCCCCTTTTCTCTCCTGCCTCTTCTCCTGCTTCCTCTGCTTCTGCTTCTCTTAGTGACTATCTCAGTACTCCTCCCATGGCCCACAAAAGTAAGCAACACAACAATGTAACAACTTGCAGGTGCTCCATCAGGCAGGGCAATCCTGAAGGTGAGATGGCAGAAAAGCCTGAAAACCATTTTCCCTACAAAGGGGGAAAATAGTCATTCAAAAGATTCATAAGAGCAAAACTTTACAAAATCTTTCTGCTGAGGCTTCCCTGGTGGCACAGCCAGTTGAGCGCTATGAAGCTGTCCACAGCCTCTGCAGCACAGGTTCGATTCCTGGCCTGCCAGGGAGATTCCCACGTGGCGCAGCGGACCTCTCCTGTCACGCCCGCTGCTCCCCTCAGCAGTGTACTTCAGTAGGTCTGCCTGTTCTGTTCCCCGCTCTGTCTCTGGTGAATCCTCTTACCCTCCCAAGCCTCTGGCCTATACCCCAGCTATTGTATAAATAAAAAATAAATGTTTAAAAAAAATCTCATAGTAACCTGGACATTTAAAAAAAAAAATGGATTGTTTCTGCTTAATCATCATAAAACTGAAATTTATAAAATTAGTCATTTTATTTCTCTCTTTTTGAGTCTGCCTAACTTGATCATTTTTCATAGAAACCACAGAATAATTCTATCAAGTACCAAAAAAATCCTGCTGTTTGTTTCTTGAATTCAACATCTAGATTACGTGGGAAGGATAGGATTTTTTCTATGTTGATTTTTTTTTCTATCAATGTGGTATATCATCTATTTTCTCCCCCATAGGGAACCTGCCTATGTTTAATTTAGTTTAATCTTATTTTATATTTTCATTTTTGTTTTGAATGTATATTTCAAATGATTAGTTCTCAAATCTGAGCATCACAGTTACCTGTAGAACTCCTATAAACACACGTGTCCAGGCCACTCCTATCGAACCTAATGTAATGACTGGGGTAAGATGTGACAATACTATGTTTTTTACAAGTAATTGTGCTACATAGTCAGACCTGAGAATATTTGGGAAATATAGGAAAGTAAAAACTAAACAACAGTGTTTTCCTTCTTCCCATCCTCATTTTTAAAACAGAATTATATCTAGTATTTATCCATGTATTTTTATCATTGTTTCCTAGTGTTGATTAAAGTATCTTTTAAATATCATTTTACTGTCTTTATTATATTATACCATCACATGTATAGGATGTTTCCTATACATCCCCTCATTCTCTGTCATGAGTACATATAACATTGTTTCTATTTAGCATAATTAAGAAATCAAAGTAAATAACCAAGAATCCTGGACTAGACACCTTTGTTCAAGTCATACCCATTACCATGTGGTCTAGATGATGTCACAATAACTGAAACTCTAGCCTATATCTGATGTTTTTACTTCCTGAAAACCACATCAGTTTAGATACACTTAAAGAGATAGTCCTTATTGCTAAAATGAAGCAGAAACTCTTGATATGACTGAATGAATACTTAAAGGATAATACAGATAAGTCATTTATTATAAGACATTAAAGAGAAAATGCTTTACTACTGTTAGTAAAATAGAAAGAATATGCTTTCCCTTACAATTTTTAATAAGCCAAAGCAAATATTATGCTATGAAAACTAGAAGAAAGGATCTAAGCCGAAATGAATTTATAAACCATAGCATAGGGGCTCCCTGGTGACACAGGGGTTAAAGTCTCAGCGCTATCAAATTGTTATCGGCTACTGTAGCCTGAGTTCGATCCCTGGCCAGGGAGCTGACCCACATGGCACAGCAAATCTCTCTTGTGTGGCCCGCTGCTCCCTTTAGTAGATCTGCCTGTTCTGATCCCACACTGTTTCTGGTGAATTCTCTCACCGCCTCTCCCCGCCCCGGCCCCCACACATACTTCTGGCCTATATCCCAGTTCTTGTATGAATAAATAAATAATCTTTTTTAAAAAAGTAAATAAATCATAGCATATTCATACAATATATTGGATGCTACAGTGCAGATAAAATAAATGAACTTGAAGTTATGGGGAGAGCAAAATTTGCTACCCTAAAACATATCTCTTTAGCATAAAGATATTTAGAGCTGGTTATTTTTAAGAAACAGCAGACTCAGAAAGTTTTTCCTTACCTTTCCCTTAATTGCCTTAAAGAATTTAAATGGTGGGCCCAGACTATTCCAAGAAGGAAGGTATTACCATAGATAACCACAAAGAATATAAGCTAAGAATGATAGAGAGGGTGGGCGAGGGAAGGTGTGTGAATTAGCAAGGCCATTTCATGTATTCCTTCCAATTCCTCTTGGTTTGCCTTTGTCTCTGCATGGTATTTTTTTTTCTATCAATGTGGTATATCATCTATTTGTTTACCAAACATTAACTTTCCCCATATTTCTGTATATTCCTCCTCTTAAGCCCCAGGTCCCTACACCCCAGCTGAGGTTGGCATATAACCCCAGAATATCTAGGACCCATGTGTCTTTTTGTGGCCTCCAAATATACTTTCTCTTGCTTTCCTCTTGTGAATTTGTCTCATAGCAATTGATTTATTAGATCAGTCAAAAGAAACTAAAAGGGGTGGGGGAATATTTTCTCTCTTACAAAGGACATCCACCAGCATAGGTAACTATCAAACATATGATCAGAATGATCAAAGCAAGTTGTAAAATGATCCTGATTAATACATGTAAGGATTTTCAATTCCAGAACAGTGCTATGTATTCTTTAGGAGCTAATACACATGAATTGCAAGTATAAAAGAATATACTTGAAAGATAAAAACTCAGCTCAGAAATAGTTACCTTTGGAGAGGAAAGAAGAAAAATAGGAAAATGATGAGTATAAGGAGAACTTGAACCATATGTGAAATATTTGTTCTTTCAAACAAAAAAAAAAGTGATACAAAAATAGAAAATGTTAAAATAAAAAGAGGGTAAAATTTTATGACCATTTATCATGCTATTCAAGCATTTTAACAATTCATTAATGTAATAATTCAGAACACTGAATTCTTCTGTTAATGTTAATGTCCCTGTTTTATCTGAGATATAATGCTCACCTTCTCTGTTTTCCAATTCTTTTATCAGGAAAATGATGACATTAATATTTGTCTTCCTTATTTTACAAAGGGAGTAGTTAACAAAAAGCAACAATAACTACAGAACCCATCAAGCTCTGTGTAGAATTAAAACAGTTAAATCAAGGAAAAGAACTTTTTCCCCCCAAGTAAAAAAACACTAATCTGCAGGAGCAAGAAAAAAATCAATTCAAGACCACATAAGTTAAAAGTAATTTAATTTAGCTTTTTTGGTTGTTCCCTTTGTTACAGTAAAAAAAACATTTTACTTATTGATTTTTTTTAATTAACAAGAAACATAAAATGGTATTCAATAAGTATAACAAATAAAAAGTAAAGTTCTATTCTGTGTTATTTTATGTAAGGGAAAAACAGAAGAGCAAGTGAGGGAGGTGATGACATGAAACAGGAGGGAAGGTATAAAGAGCGCAGCCGAGATGAAAGGACACATATAGAAGAACAGCAAGAGAGGTTGGCTCTTGAAGGGAACTTGCAGAGAAGGGTCATCCATACAGACACATCTCAGTATCTACAAACAAAAGAACAAAGTAAACACTGAGAAAGCATGCAGAGAAGCCCTCAGTCATGAAGTAGAGAACACTGGAATCAAACATTCAGATTTTGTTGCAGTTTCTACATGCCTTCTATAAAAGCCTTTCCATTTCTTGTCTACCAGCTCAGACCAGTTCCCAAAACCAATCTTGCCTTGAAGCAGGAAGGAGTGAGGAGTTTTTATGATTGTGTAATACAAATGACCAGTCCTGTTGGCTCTAGCTTTATCTTGTCTTCATTTTAATCCATGAATATGCCCGCCCTATGTACCAGTTTAATTTTTAATATGGTTCTGCTTTGGCATTTCTTCTTGAGTCCATATTATGATGACCTTTCTGTTTTGTTTTTTTAACTAGTTTTTTCTCTTACATTGTTGTAGTCCCCATAGTTCTCCCACCACTGTATCACTCACGAACAAGTACCATACTCCTTTGTGTTCACCTCTCTCCTGTTTTGTCCCCACTCCTGCCCCTCCTTTGCTGTATGCCTTAGCTCAGCTTTCTAGTTTTGAATTTTTCCTGACCTTTTGTTTGGTTTCTCTATAATCTACATATAAGTGAGGTCATCCAATATTTCTCTTTTTCCTCTCATTTCCGCTAGTATAATCCCTGCCAGCTCCATCCATGTTGCTGCAAATAGCATGAGTGTGTCTTTTTTTCCATTGAGTAATATTCCACTGTATAAAATATACCACAACTTTTTGATCCATTCATCTATTTGGGGGCATTTGGGTTGTTTCCAAAGCTTGATTACTGTAAAGTACTGCAATAAACATAGGAGTGCAGATTTCCTTTTGAATTTGTGTTTTTGTGTCCTTTGGATAGATTCCTAGGAGTAGAATTGCTGGATCACATGGTAGATCCATTTTTAGTGTTCTAAGGAACCTCCACACAGCTTTACATAGTGACTGGCCCAGTTCACATTCCCACCTGCAGTGTAAGAGTTTTTTTGTTGTTGTTGTTGTTTTTTAATCACCACATCCTCTTCAACATAACTATTGCTGAAAGAGTAAACAGTTCATGAGCCAGTGTGGACCTGGTCTGTGCAGGTATTATTAGAAATAGAAGTAAATGTATTTACTTGTGGGACTTCATAAAGTCCATGTTGCTAGGCATGAGGGATGATAATGATAAATGTTTCCTGAGGTAGTAACTTCATGATATCATTTTGTATAGAACTATAATTACTAGATGTAATTCCCATTTCTTTTGTGATATTACATAAGCTATTAATATTTGTTAATGCTTAGCAGACATAAAGTTAAAATATAGACAGTATGAGACTCATCTCTGAAAACAAGATTGAATCATTCCATGAGTCTGGACAAAGATTAACTTCTACTCTGACCTCCTAGTAGGTGAACTGCCAAACAAGAAGATCCTCTCCATCCATAGTCTGGCTGATTGGAAATAAATAGTCAATGAAGACTTCCCAGTGAAGCCAGTCCTTCGTAGTCACATGTCAGCAAATCATGCTCGTGTAGCATTTATAGAGTTTGAGGGGAAGACACCTCATAATATTAACTGGTCCTTTACCTCATCAAGGTAGCATTTCCTTAGTGCAGTCCAGCTTTTAAACTCTAAAATTAGTATTTTTGTCTGTACCCAGAGTTCATCATTCTCCAAGGGACTAATACCATTCTTTCCTGTTAACCAAACTCCTAAAAGACTGCTGTATGTACCATAATGCCAAAGAGAAAAAGTGAACCAGAACACCCAGGTCATACATTAATACATGCATTCTCTTTGCAAATCTATTTAGAAATACAAGACACAAGAACATTGTGTGGTGTGCATGGAAGCAGAGAAATGGAAATTACACAATTGACCTTAAAGACCATATCACAGAGCAACAGTCTCAAGATCCATTTGCACATAGACATGAGTTTGCCAAACAGACAAGAACACATATGCTTACTGGTTAGGGATACTGTAAATAGGTTTTAAATATTTTCAGAAAACATATCATAAGGAACAACTTTGTTAGATTTTGAACAATTATAAAGCAGCTATATAGAGTTGCAGTTAGAATTTGTACATGACATGTGAGTTGAAAATAATTCAAAGCAAAATTCCACTTTGCTAAAATTTCATGTTTGTTAAAACTGTTCTATGAACTCTTTCCAGGTAATTCCAGATTAATCTGATAATAGCTGCTAATTAGACCATGAATGAAATTAGTGAATTAATTGTGGTTATCTAGGATCAACAGTCTTCCAAAAGAAAGGGGTGAGATTGCTTAAAATTGCTTACTTCAGATACAGCATAGAGAATTACACAGTAAAATTGAATGGGAAGTCAAGTGAGAGAAAGTAAAAGAAACATACAATATTGGAGAAAAAGCAACTCTTTAGTACTGCCTGTAAGTGTAACTGATAGAAGGAAATTAGATTTAAAAATAGATTTAATCTGATTTATTTAAAGTGTATTATTAAATTCAATGGCAAAAAAAAGTGCAGCAAATTAAAATTTTACATAGCCTCTGAAAACTGTCATAATTTTGCTTTTTTTCAAATGATTGGATACCTTTGGTTTTTTCAAATTTTTCATTTCTCTTAAGTGCAAGTTTCCACTTTATCAAATCTGGTACAATGATAAAACAAATACGAGGTATAGAGTTCTGCAGTCTGTTAATGTCAGGATACCTGCTATGTCAGAAAACTTCAAATTCTGCAGGATAATTTTCTTGGTACAAAAAATATGATGGTAGAACTCATTAAATTTCTAGAGCTTTAGAATTTTTCTTGTGATTTTTGACCTTATAATGTAGCCACCACTTATAGATTCTTCTATATCACTGTGAAAATGTGTGCATGTGCAGGGAAACCTAAAAGAGACAAGTGTAAAGTAAAAGCTGAAGCAGACTTGAGAACATAACCTCTCCAAACTATATTCAGCCAACATTCACTGGCAAAAGGCAGACTTATAGATTTGAGATGCTTGAGCAGAATCTCTGTTTAAATCACTGATTTTTCACTGAAGCAATGAAAGCATAAGACTAATCTCTAAAAAGTCAGCCTACAAAAATAAGATTTGCACTAACTACTCATAGGGTGATTATAATAAAAAAAGACAAAATATCAAATGACATTAAGAATGTGGGAAAATTGGAACCTTCATACATTGTTGATAGAATTATAGTGTAGCTACTTTGGAAAATAGCCTGGCGATTTTTCCAAAAAGTTAAACATAGTTACTATATAACCCAGAAATTCTATTCCTAGATATATATCCAAGAGAAATAAAAATATATGTACACATTAAAACTTGTACAGAAGTCAGAGGCAGACAAATACAAAATTATGTTACTTATATGTGGCATATAAAGAAACAAGACAAAGGATAAGATAAATCCAAATTAATAACAACTAGAAAGAAATCTGACTCTAGCACTGAGGCTGCCAGAGGCAAAGGCAAAAGGGGTGAGAGCAAAGACCGGAGGTTACCACAGTGTACTATGGGGGTGGACTATGGATACCTGGGTAGCAGGTGAGGTGCAGTAAAGCCTGAAGGGGTGACCTCGCCAACACAGACAACGCTGTAAACCAATGTTACTGTAATAAAAATAAATATATACATAAAATGTTATTAGCCATTAGGTTAATGCAAATTTAAACTGTGATAATATACCACTACATCTTCTTTAGAATGACTAAAATTTAAAAATACTGATAATGCCAGGTGCTGACAAATACATGGCACATCTAGAACTCTCATTCATTACTGGTGGGTTAACACAATTTTATATGCCCTGGAGACAGTTTGACTGCTTCCAAAAATTGCACATATACATCTTATATGACCCAGCAACCCTACCCCCAAGTATTTATCCTAAAGAAATGAAAACTCATGTTCACATAAACACCTTTACATAAATACTTACAGAACTTTATTATAATAAAAAAAAAAGCCTGGAAACAACCTAAATGCCTTTCAAACAGTGAAAGGATAGACAAACTATAGTATATTCATTCAAAGGAAGGCTAGTCAGCAAAGAAAAAGGAAAGAACTATTGATACAAATAACAACCAGGATGGGTAACAAAGAAAGAAGCTAGCTTCAGTAAGTTACATCTTACACAATTTCATTTATAAAACACTGTTAGAAAGACAAAACTAAAGTGAGAGAAAACAGATCAGTGTCTGCCAGGGGTGGGAGTAAAATGTGAACACAAATGGGTAGCAAAGGATAATGGAGATGGTGGTAACATGAATCAACTTGTGTTCAAATTCAGAGAATTCTGTACCACTTCTCAAAATTTTCATATATTTTTATATAATAATATTAAATTTTAAAATATTTGTATTTACCTAAACCGAAGCAGAAATGAACCTTGAGAAACAACCACTCATACCTCTACAATCTATTCTCCACAGAGAAATGAGGGAGATTCTTTTGAATGCCATGCCCCTGTTCAAAACATCCAGGACCTTTCAATAATTATAGAAAAAAATTACAAAGCCTCTAAGGCCTTAGCGACACCACTAATGCCACTCTCTCAGTCTTCAATTATCTCACGGTCTCCCTCTGACCAACCCTACTGACCTCTATCCTGTTCTTCAATGAACATTCCTGCTCAAGATCCTCACTCTAACTGTTCCTTTTCCTAGAACTCCCTTCCTTCAGGTACCTCAGGACTTGCTGCTTCACTTTACAGGTCTCTGTTCATATGGCATTTCTTTAGGAAGGCTATTTGGAACCACCCTATACAAGAGAGCAAGTCTTTTACACGACCACTACTACTACCAGTGTACTACTATTACTAGTAGTAGTACCACTATTACTACTACTACTGCTACTATAGTCATCATCACCACAGTTTCTACTGTTATATTTGCAAATCATATATCTACCTCAACTGAGAGATTCAATCTGCTCCTTTCCATCCCACCCCCTCCTACCCCATACACACCTTATCTCTCTATTTAATGAAGACGGACACTTTGGGTTTTTTTTTTTTTTTTTCATATAAATCTCCAGCATCTACAATAGTACCTGGTACATGGTAAGTATTCAAATTGTTGTTGAATCAATGTACAGAAAATCAAAGTTCAGAAAATCAGTTACCTTACATCATCATCTTTGTCCTGTCAGCCACTTACTCGAACCTTCTCCTGTGGGAATCAGGTGAACAACAGCTGCGTAGTCCTCCTCTTGCCACCAGTGAATACTGACAAATCTCACCTTCCTCCCTAGTGAAAAGACAGAAGAGGCTTAAATACATATTAAAATTCACTGGAAGTTATTTATTTTTGTGTTATTAAAATATTATAAAATGTTGCTCCAGTTGCCTATTGCTCCTTGTCAACAAAGTTTAAATGATTCTCCCAAGCTTTCTTTTGCAACATTGATTTTCTATGAAAAAGACACCATTTTAGAGCAAAAAAGAGTTGTTTCTTAGATTTCTGTGTTTTGAGGGAAGGGGAAGCCTAGTCACTTATTTTGGGCATATTCCACAAAATTGAAGAGAGTCCATTTCAGAAAATTACTGCAGTCTCATCCCATCATAGCTTTAGAATTAAATTACTGTTTCATTTTATCCTCCAAATAGTGTGTCATAAGGCAATTTTTTAGATATTGAAACCTAGATTTTTCCTGGAAAGGGAATGAGTATAAAAATCACATTTGTTAAATCACAGCTCTTCAATCAAATGATTTGTTTTTTTTCCCAGAATTATATACAAATGTAAGACTTGGAAATGTCATCTCTTCAATACCAAATAGTCACCCTATCTCTGGAAAATCACTAGTTCTGATATCACTGATTGTATATTTTTCATTGTACCATATTCTACATATGAAATTTTAGCAATTGTAACTTGATCAAAAGAGAAAAATCTCAACAGCCAGGCATTTTATAAATAGATGTCTTATCTTTTAATAAAAAAAAGTGTGTCTTCCATGCTTGAAATACACAATACCTCAAAGTTTGTTACCAATTTTTAAAATTTTAATTAAATAATGGTAAATTTTTAAAAATAGCTTATACATTCATTATAAAGAAAAACCTAAAATAGTTCATTTATGTTACAATGTTTCTCATCAATAGGCAAATCTTAGAACTGTGTTGCTTTAGACACTGTCTCAAATAAATGCTTTCTTTTGTTTCATGCAGTGTCATAATGTGTGAAGAAAATTACACCCCCTTCAAAAAATTTACTGAGAATGACAGTTTTGCTTCTTAGAATTACATGGGCAGTTAGAAGCAAACATAAGGGGTAAAAAAGCTTTATGGAATTGGACTTGGCAATAATTTCTTAGATATGAAACCAAAAGCTGAGGTAACAGAGGAACTGACAAAACTAAACCAGAGTGGGGGAAAAGACCTAGAAATAAGATTGTAAAATGGAGACTGAGACTCCACCCACAACATAGCAGAACAGGCACAAAGCACCCTCTCCCTTGAAAACAACCATTTAAAAAGGCTGTTTTGTTCTAGGAAAATCTAGACACGTTGAACCATCTGCACAGCCCAGAAGTTCACCAAGGAGTCCAAGAACTAGAGGTGGTAGAGGTTGAGAGGAAAGAATAGGAGACAATGAGGGGAAAGAGTCTGGGTGAGGGCTTGATTTACCAAGCCACGTGGAGGGAAACCCAGAATCTCTAAGCTAACCTGGCCTTTGCCATGGCCACATCCTCCACCTTCCTAGAGCATTGGGAGGAACTGCAAACCTCCCGAGCTTCGCCTACAAACAGCAGGAATGGAAGAGAAGAAAAAGTTCATCAGTTATTTTCATGAAGAGCAACAGGAAGCAAATGAAACACTGGCAGAGATGGAAGAGGAACCACATCATGCACCCCTTTTTCCAAAGCCACATAAAGTCTAAGCTTCAAGCCTACTGGAAAGACCTTGCCAAACTCCATCCAGAGGTGAGAAGTCCACCTTTGACAGCCATACCTGGGGGCAGTGGAATCATGAAATACAGTGCAATGCTGGAGAGAATGGGTGCAATGAATCCACTACAGTCTCAAAAGGCATTGTCTGCCAAGACACTGACATCCTGAATCCCAGGCCACACAGAGAATAGAGTGTTCTCATCAGGTTGCCACAGAGACTGGCTCAGAAATCATGAAAGAGCTGGAGGAGCAGTGCTACCATTTGGAACATACCAGAGTAGACTGGTAAACATAAGAGAAAAGTTAAGCAAATGTCCAGAGATTCTATGTTCAATGTCCAGAATTGCACAGTGGTGCAAAAGATTTGGAAACCAGCATGAGATTTCTTTTAAAAATCTTAAATAAAATTATCATATGATCCAGCAATACCACTTTTGGGTATATATCCAAAAGAATTGCAAGGTCTCATGGAAATATTTTAGCCAACAAGTGAAATAACTCAAATATCCAACAGATGAATGGGTAAACAAAATGTGATATGACATATGATGGAATGTTACTCAGTTTTAAAAAGGAAATCTGCTACATGCTACCTTATGGATGAACCTTGAGGACATTAAGCTAAGTGATAGAAACCAGTAATCACAAAAATACAAACACTACATGATTTTACTTATGTAGAATCTACTTATGAGATCTACAAAGTAGGCAAATTCACAGAACCAGAAAGAAAAATGATGGCTAACAGGGGTTGGGGAAGATGTATAGGGTAGTTTTCATTTAATGAGTATAGAGTTTCAGATCTGCAAGATGAAGTTCTAGAGGTACATGTCACAACAATATGCACATACTTCACACTATTGAACCATACACTTAAAAATGGTGAAGATGATAAATTTCACCATTCACCAAAAATTGAGATAAATTTTTCTGATCACCTGTGCAAGACAATTCAAAGAAAATCAGAAGTTTTGTATGACTCAAAATATCTGCCCCATAGTTTGAAAGTCCCTCCTCTGCTTTTGTGTCATACCTCAATTGCTTCAGCTAAAAATTAATAGGTGCTAATGAGCACCTACCGCCAATGTGTAATTAGCAGAGTTAATTGGGACCTTGGCATTTTTTTTTTTTTGCAACTAGCAGAGAGTTGCCACAATGAGGTATTATTGTAGAAGAAAAGCTGGAAAGTTTGGGTCATTGGAAATGGAAAGTCAGCACAAGTTGAGTGCTACAAGGAAAATCCCAGAGACATTAGGGAGGTAAGCAACACTACACAATAGGGAAGAGGCTTAAGCACACTAATGAATTGTCCAGCTGGATGTCTGGACACTCGCTAAGCTTATCTGGAGAATTTGAATCAGTTAATTTTTTTTCCATTAGGTAATGACAGGCAAATTGAGTATAAATTTAATTATAGCAATGGGCTGTCTTTATTGATTTTTATGTAAGATTATTTTTCATGTGTTTTTAACACAAATATATTTATATACCACAGTATTTCATGTATTTTAGTATTTATATGTTTCAGTATTTTAACACTGTAATGTATTAATTTAATACAAATAATGGATGGTGACTAGGACAACCTTCTTAAGAATTTGTACTTTAACAGTGACATTTACTATAAAAATAGTGCCAAAACTAATTTGCAGCACTGTGAAACTATCAGCAGCTATCAGCAGCCACCGCAGCACAAATTCGATCTCTGCCAGGGAGCCAACCCACATGGCACAGGAGACCACTCCTCTCTCTCACACTGCTTCCCTCAGCAGAGTATTTCAGCACATCTGCCTGTTCTGTTCCCCACTCTGTCTCTGGTGAATCCTATCACCCCCTGAAACTCTGGTCTGTACTCCAGTTCTTGTATGCATAAATATTTTTCAAAAATACTGGTGGCGTAGTGGTTGAGCGCTGGGCTGCGAGGCTGCCCGCAGCCTCTGCAGCGTGGGTTCGATCCCCGGCCACTGGGTGAGGGTCCCACATGGCGCGCAGACCTCTCCTGCCACTTGCTGCTCCCCTCAGCAGTGTATTTAGTCACTCTGCCTGCTCTGGTGAATCCTCTCACCCGCCTGCGCTTCTGACTGTACCCATTGCTTGTATAAATAAATAAATAAATCTTTAAAAATAAATAAATGAAATGAAAATAGTGCCCAAAAAAGACCTATAAAGTTCAGCATATTAATACAGTTTTTTTTAATAGTACTGACATTTCAAAAACTTTTTTTTTCCTTTACACTGCCACCAAACTCTAATAAGCCAGTGAATCTCGAATTGAAAGAGCTATCAAAATCATATAAAGAGCTTATTGACAAGACCCAGTCCCAGAGTTTCCTACTTAGCTGCTCTGGAGTAATATCCAAGAATTTCAATTTTCAGCATGTTCCTAGATGATGGTAATGTTGCTAGTTGGGAGTCAGAATTTGTGAACCCTGTTATAAAAATTGTTTTCATATAATCAGCTGAGTAAATGCCGCAAGAGAAAAATTTTCCATTAAGAAATACTGTTTACCTCAAATGTATTCATTGTTAAAATATGACATGATTGTTTGATTGCCTAGGCTGACAGCTCAGTAGACTGCCCATTCATCACAGCACAAGATGCTACAGGAGATTCTAGTCATGTCCAGAATGACTCTGCTTCTGTATGAAGTCCCAGCCCGAGGCACATGGACATACTGTTTTTCATGTTGGCAATTCCCTATTACAAATGGTACATAAAATTTTGATAAAATCATATGCTGCTTCACAATTTTATAAATGAATAAAACAAAACTAAATAGCAATTTGTCCCTGAGTATGAACCACTGCTTGAAAGTGGCCTGTTCACTGTTGCCTTGAAACATGGCAAAACAGAAATGTGCTTTTATTTCTAAGGTTACAGTGAAATTCTCTATAGTCTCTTCATTTGTTTTCGTGAGGTGATTTATAGGAAAGAGATGTAAAAAAAAAAAAAAACTGCTGATATTTACAAACAAGATGTAAAGGTGACGCTAATTAACACTAACACATGTTCATAGCATATAGCATGGTTTTTAAAGAGGAAACAAAGTTTTAACATGTAATATTTTCTTCTCATTTATCCTGACAGAATTAAAAAGAAATTGAGAATGTGCAAATCACAAATCAACACCCCGGTATGCTGTATTTCTCAGTTTTCCTTTTGTTGACAAGGTTAGCAGTCAAGCCCCTCAGTCGGCTCTGAGGTATCTCAGGGCCGGCCCTGACAATCTCGCCACCTTCTCCTCCAAGG